TGCCGGGGGAGGGGGGGTGGGGGTTCCTGTGACCAATTTGAAATAAAAGTGAAAGTTGAGGAACTACTTTGAAATAAAATTTGGTAACTTATGTTATTAACCCTTTTTGAATTTGTATATTTCTGCGTGACTAAGATGTGCATTCCCACATTGAGTCTAGACCCTTTAATAATAAGTAATTAATTAGGTAAAAATAATTGGAGAATCTTCCAGCGGATGTTATACACCTCCTCTACTAGTCAATGGTGCATGCAATAATATTGTTGGGAAAATTTTAGTATGTCAAGTAGGCCAACATAAGTAATTAATTGTATATAATGTTATCTTAAAGTGAAGTTCAAAATTAGTTCCCGTTTGACACCCATTAAATTTGATTATAATGGGGGAAATAGTGCTTTAAAAAAATGAATAGTTGTAAAAGAATGAAAAGTTTTCGATTTATGTATAGTATTATTTTTACTGAAAATTGTATGGTTGAAAATAGGAGAGAGAAAACTTTAATTTAAGTTAATGGGATGTAATGTGATGTGGGGCTAAACAAGGGTTTAAGGCGTGGGCTAGATTATATGTGTAGCGACCAAATTTCTTTAAATTTGTATTTCATGATGAGGAAAATACTTATGGATGTATAGGATTGTGATCTCCAATTCATTTACAACTTCTCAATCTTTGTGTCACCCAATCAACACAAGAATACAAGAGAAAGCATATTGAAGAGAGAGATCAAATACCCACAATCAAGAATCAAGAAGAATAAATTCAAGAATTAAAACTATGATCAAGAAGCAAAACTAAGAACAAGAATTAAATAATCGAATCAGGCAAAAATCAAGATTAAATGTGAAGAAGCCAAAGATGAAAAGATTACAGTTCAAATTTCAAGATTCAAGCTTCGAAATCAAGATTTAGTAATGAAGAATCATTTTCAAAGAATTAAGGTATATTCCGCATTTAATAATTTCTTAGTGACTTAACATGGAGAATCTCGACAATAAATAAATTTGAGTTTTTAAGTTCTAAAGTTTTTAATTTTATAAATTTTAAAATCTTAACAAGTGCTATCAGAGCCACCTCCATGTTAAACCATTGGGATTAAAGAAAAGAATTTTGTGGTTAAAATTCATATATTGAGTTTTGGAATCTCTCAATTTGGAATACTAATTTTAAGTATAAATTTCAAAATTCAGAGTTTTTCAAGAAAAATTTTAAGGTTGAAAGTCATAATTTAGATTTTCCAATTTCAGATATGAATTTTAATATTAAAATTCAAAAATTCAGATTTCTAGGATTTTTCAAACATTATGGGTCAAAACTATAGACGTGATGCCTTAGCGCCGAGTACGAACGCTGTGGGGCTACCATAAGGAAGCACAACCGGCTGCAGCTCTAGTTTCCCATTCAAGCATACATTTTTTTATTTTATTTTATTTTCTTTTAGCACGAAAAGAAATAAAATAAAATAAAATATGAGATGCAATCAATTTCAAATCTTGGTACTTAACATTTATTTCGAATTACTAATTTTCTAAAATAGATTAATTGAAACAACATGTTACTAAAATAATCTCTTGTACCTAAATTAATTTATTTGGAATATTAGGAAGGTTATGTGTACGTAATTCATGTGGATACTCATCGCCCTAGAGGAATATTAGGCCCTGTTTGATCCATATTATTTGAAAAAAATACATTCTGAAATAGAGATTTGACATTATTTCAACCACACATTTTTAAATAAAATAACATAACCCGCAAATCCAAAACTTTTCTTGATTTTTTAACCACACATTTTTTATCATTACACTATTTAAAATGCATTTTTATAAAATAATGTGGCTCAAACAAGGGCTTAATATTTGGCCGAATTATTTGCACACCTGTAATAATAAATATGTAATAATTATAAAGTTTTTCATTATGTTAACATTGAGTCGGTCTGAAGATAGACTTGATTTTTAACCGAATTTATTGTCAATATTTGATTACTATACCAAGAGTACCATTTAAAAGTTGATATTTCTATCAAAAGATTTAATATCAATGTGTTGCTAGGTCTCATGTGACGGGGCCCACAACTATTTTAAATTATTGATTGTTCAATACAGATTTCCATGTGAACATGTTATTTAGGTTTAAGTTCTCTATTCTGTTAATCCATCTACTTCTACAATATCTGTCAACATCAACTCAATTCCAGTGCTTGAACCAAAGCTAGGGATAGAAAGAGAACGTTTGTATTGCTCTTGGCAGCATGGATCTGGATTTTGCGTTAAGAACTGAACAATCCACTACTATTACGAATAAGAGTTCAGCTAATAAAATGAGACTCGAATAAGTGGGATCGTTCAAACTTTATAAGTCTTATAATCATGAAGCGTAAAATTCCAACAACATTCAAGAGCATTGTGTCCAATAAGGTAATTGTCAAGAAATTTCTTGAAAAAATATTTCAAAACGCTTTGCAAAAAAAGCAATAAGGTCGAAATTAGTACACTTCTGGTAAACTTGGTTTCATTAAAGTATAAGCCTAAAGAAAATATACAGAAGTACATCATAGATGTGTCTCATCTTTCTTCAAAACCAACGACATTAAAATTTGAGTTGTCTAATGACTTGCTCGTGTATTTGGTTTTGATTTCTCTTCCTGCATAATTTCGTTAATTTAAGTTTAATTACAACTGTTAAAAGAGGATGTGGAATCTTAGTGAACTCATTCCATATTGTGTGTAAGAAGTTGAAAGTATAAAGCAAGAGAGAACTGGAAGTACTGACTTGACAAGTACCTCGTTAAAGAATAAGAAATTTGCATACGGTTCGATTAAAAAAACCGCAAACGCCCTAAAACTGAAAAATTATCTAGTTATTACATTTATGAAAATCTGGAACACATGAAATGAGATTGTATTAAATACAACACTTGGCGTGTAATGTCAAGTACACTTCTTATTTTTCTTTGTTCAGAGGTTAATTTAATTTCAATAATAGACACACTTTGTAGATAAATTTCGTTGTCACTATTCAAATAAGCATGTATATGCGGGGTTGTCTAAATAGCCTAAAACTAATTGATGTTGAAGGATTCATCTATGTGGGGAAATGGCAAATTAGTTAGGTTGTTGAGGCTATAAGGACTTTTAGATTATTATTAAAAACTGGTTCTTTTTTGAATTTGAAAGAGACATTTGTGGCACCCCTTTTTTGGATGAAATTTTATTTTTTGCTTTTACAATGGACAAATTCGATTACTTTTATTCAATTGAAAATAGTTAATGTAGTCATTTTCTTAATTCAAATAATGTGGATACCAATTCTTTATCCGGTTATGATAACATATATCTATTTAATATGGCTGTCTCTTATAAAGATATCTTACATGTGAGTTCACGTTGTATTAATTAAACATAAATTAACAAATGAGAATTCCACTTCGTCATGACACAAGCGATTAGGTCACATCTTTCAAAAAAGAATGAAAAATCTTGTGTCTGAAGGAATTTTTAATTCCCTTAATTTTTCAAACTCAAGTGTTTATGTTAATTACATTAAGAGAAAACAAACAAATATATGGAGATAGAACTTTAGATGTTTTAGAACCGATTCATATGGATATTTGTGAGCCATTTTCTTTGGCTTCTAGGAATGGTCAACAATAATTTATTATGTTCATAGATGAATTTTTCTCACTATGGCTACCTATATCTCATCTATGAGAAATCTCAAACAATGGGCATACGAGGCAGAGGTTGAAAATAAACTCAATAAAAAAAAAATTAAACATGTCAGATTTTACCATAGCAGTGAATACTATGATGATATGACGGATCAGGAGAACGTCAAGGTCATTTTGCTAAATTCCTAGAGGAATGTGCAATTGTCCCATACTACACCATAATCTCTCTAGGTTGAAAAACTAAAAATTGTAATTTAAATTCTTGATAAAGTTCCAAATAAAGCAACTGTTAAAGGGTTACAAATTTTAAAAATCCCACTATTAGATCAATTTTCGAATGGAAAAATGTCCGATTCCTTGAGAATGTAGAGTTTATGGGGGAGACAAGGTTTTAAGGTTAAAGATTTTTCTTTGAAAAAGAATATGTATATATTTCTTCTATTGTAATTGAAAACGATTAAGATCATGGACAAATTCTTGCGGTAGATCTTGTTCAAGACAAGTTAGGATCAAGACAATATTACAAAATTCCCTTTACACAAAGAAGAGACTCCCCCCCCCCCC